ATACATTTCTCAAGTCTACCGCATTGCTGCAGTTGTAGCAGAGACTTGCAAACCCAAGTGACAAAAAAATTGCATTCGAAACACTCAATACTTCACACGTGGCCACAACCGTGCTAGGGCTCGAAAAGAACCGAATTAAAACTTTGCTTATAAAAAGTACTGAGCACGGAAAAATAAATGTAAGACTAAAAAACAATCGGAAAGTTAGTTCACTGCGTATTCGCGCGTATGTTAAACAACAGACGTTTTACAGGGGCAAGTAAACTTGAATGAAAAAATTCTCATGTGTGATGTCGAAATATTGACTGAAGCTGTTACTTTAAGACTAACCTGTGGTCCAGCACAACTAATCTTACAAACATCGCAGTAATGAAGTTGGGGTTGTTTCGGCGGCGGCTTTGGCTTCATCATCTGCTGTTTCTGTTGACCGGCTCCGATCTTGTTTTTCCACCCTTGCCTTTGTGGTGTCTGGTGGTGATGTTGTTGCTGAACGAAGGCCGCAGCGGCGTTGTAGACAGCTGCCTCGTAAGCTTGTGGTTGATAATTTGCTGCATTCCCCGTTGAAGGACCACCATAACTCGAAGTGTTATACGAACTTGTTTGGCCGTAAGCGGTTGTCTGTGTACGCGCGTTTGAATACGGATAAGCCACAGTGGATGACTGCGAAGAGTAAGCTTGAGTCGGATGAGTTTTCGCAATAACCGGCGTAGCGCTTACTGATGTGGGATACACATTTGTTCCAGACGTTGGATAAGCTGCTTTGGCTGCTCCAGTGGTGTTCTGAGCGTAATAAGCATTTTGTCCGCCCTGTACGTTCGTAGACGGCTGTTGCGAATAGTAAGACGCCTTGGTTTCGTACGCCTCTCGATCGTAATACTGAGCTGAACCGTGATGAGCTTGGTACGCGCCATGAGTAGCCTGATACGAGGCATTTGCCGGTGGTGGTGGCGGTGGAGCGTCTTGTTGTCTTGCCGTGTAGCCATAAGCGCCTCCTTGTGCGGAAGATCCTTGTTGAGCGTAAGCAGTTGTGCCAGCTGAGTAAGGCGCTTGTACAACTTGCCTGGGAGCTTGATTTTGAGGGGGAACATAGTGCCCTCCAGCAGGAGCAGAAGCTTGAACTCCGTAACCAGTAGTTCCCTGGGGTGTTCCATAACTTGTTTGAATCGACGGATTCTGAGCTTGAGTAAAACCCTGTGTGTGTTGCCCTCCCGAAGAATAGCCGTAGTAATTGCTGGCGGCCATGTTGGATGACTCAAGGAGAAAGAGGCACGTGTTCAAAGACGTCAAACCGGCAGAGTGCAAAAGAATAGGCCTGGATGCCAATGCTCCTGAAAACGAGGCTAAAGAGCGCCGCGACTCTCGAGCTCGCACATTTTTTTCGCCTCAAACGGCTATGGTTAGCCAAATGTTGCAAAATTCAACAACTTGCATATNGGGAGAAAATGATGGTGCAGACAATGAGTGCCTCGTGAGAGCCGCTCGCAAGCTATCTTAACGTAAAATCAAACTACTCATTCTTGTGACTTTCAGAAGAGTTTTTTTTTTCTGGAATGCTGAAGACTATTTACTTTGTTTTTCTTTATAATTGGCTTACTTGAATCCAATACACTTTCCCTGATATGCTGTTAATTTTGACAATCTTTGCGCCTTCGTAGAGTTTCTGGAGAAATATCCAACACCGTATCATAAATGGTAGATTTTCTACCTCATTACTCATACTTCGAATATTAAAAGTTGAACGTCAAATGGCCTAAAAAATTAACCGGCCACCGTCAAGGATCTTTACATACTGGCGATATTTAACAGCTATTCCCAGAAGGCGAAGTAAACATCATTGAATAACACCCGAAACGAATTCGAGGGCAATATTTAACAATGTTCTCTAAGACCTGGGCAACTAATTATTTTACTTATGACTTCTCTGCCAAACTCAATAGTATCTTTTGTACTCTTCGCAACTGAATTTTCTTTTTTCGCGTTTATCACTTCCTCGGAAACATTGACAAAACGCGAGGAAACCATCTTGAAATTTAGTGCCTCTGCTATAATCACCTCGCGCGATCTATGACACAATTTCCGACCAATCAGAGCGTGCGCATCTCTATAATCACCTCAGTAATCTAAAATAAATCAGTATATACTAAAACAGTAGATACGAACACCAGGGAGATAGCAAGGAGCTCGTTACTAACTACAGATCTATCTCGTTACTGCCAATCCCGGCCAAGTGCTTATACTGAGTGGCAACATGGTTTCATTAAAGGAAGATCCTGTGAGACTCAGCTGATTCTAACCAGCAATAAATATTAGTTGTTGAATAAAAATATGCAAGTTGTTGAATTTTGCTACATTTGGCTAACCATAGTTGGCGGCTAGCGGTCGATATTTAGCCCACCTCTTCGCTTCGCGGCTCGTTTAATAACCACCATTAGCCATGCTCCTCCACATTGGTGAATAGTTGTTAAATGTAAAAAAATAGACCCAATGCAATGATGAATCT